AATAAAGAATGGTTAAGATAATAAATGACCATAAAGAATACTGGGCATTATAGTATAGAGTGACAGAAAGGCAAATGGAAACTGGGGCCATCTCCTCTAGTACAGTTTGCTAATGGAGTAAATAGCACAGATTCTAGGTTTTTCTTCTGCTGAAATCTTCTCCAGCAAGGGCTTATCTCATGCAATTAGTCATTGATCCAAAATGTTTTCATTTTTACTTTGTTTATTTTCCAATTTGGATTCGCTCACTATATTTGTTATATAATTTAAAGATCTCTATGCATATTTTTGGCTCACTTTATCTTTGTAATCTTTGATGTATGAAGCAGATGGAGCTTCAATTATCAAATATTTATTGGAAATTTTATTAAAAATATACAATGAGGCCATATTTACTTCTGTTACCATCAATTTAGTATGAATAGATTTTTTTCATATATATATATTGCAATGTATTAGTAGAAGCAAATTTTGATATTATACTTCTGCAAAGGATCACTATCACAATATATGTAGCCATGTGGAATTCTGTCATTCAAAAAGTGTTGAAAGCAATGGAAGATGAGATACGGTATCTTGCAGGTCAAGAAATGGTTGATATACAATGGTAATAAATTTAAATTTATTTTTATGATGAGTTAAAGCCTTTTAATTGCTTTAAAAGGAAGAGGAGAAGGGGAGTAGTATTTTAAAGAACTAACTATGGGACATAAATTGTGCTTATAATATACATATATCATATTAGATAATCCTCACAATTTACTTCATAATGGAAAAAGTATTGCCCTGATGTTACAAATAATATCAGTTTTAGAGAGATCAATACATGCCTAAGATTGCCGACTAAGAGTCAGAGTTTGTTTGACCAAACCTGTTTTCTTCCCCTACCTCTGGTCATTTGAAATTGGTGGAGAAGATGCAGTAGAGGGTAATGAGGTTAAATATATTAAGGAGCTACTGTTGTAGATGAAACTGACATCCTGAACATAAGCTATAGAGGTAGATACCAAGAGAAAATAATGAATTCAAGAAATACATAAGAGAAAAATATCTCGAGACATGCAGAACATGGTAAAGAGAAAAGTCCTCCAATTTCAGCTTGGGTGATGGGATAATGTGATTGTTATCAAGATTTCAAACAATCCAGAAAAATGCATTGTTTTGTACCTTTGTTGCGTGGAGTGGAGGATGATGATTTGATTTATGTTGCTTGTGTTGAATTTAAAGCACCTATTTGACAGCCAGATAGAGACATCTAACATGAAATTGGATACAAGTAAGTAAAGCTGATAAAAAAAAAATAGGATCTCTTATACTGGTGGTAGCTGATTGAGATCAAAAGATTATTGTAGTACCCTGAGAAATGAATATTTAATGCAGGAGTCTTCTCTAAAGGGTATATGAACCCTTTAATGTCTTTAATGTTTTTGTGTGTGGGATATCCCCCATTTTAGAAATGGTGTGTCCTCATTATTAATGAATTTCTAAAATGGATGTTGGGAAAGATAACCCTACATAAACCCTGAGTGTCTGCATATTCTTGTTGAGAATGCCAAGACTGCAAGGTCCTGACCAATCTTTATCCAGGCCATTTGTCAGAGCTAGGTTAACAAGAGAAATACTGAGGAATACGCAGGCTTAGTGCTTGCCAGGAAAAGGAAAATTTCCTAAGCTCCAAGTTCTTCAGTTGCAATGCAAACCAACTGCATATATGATATCAACTGAGCCCTTCCATGTCACCACCCTGAAACTTTTGACAAAGGAGATCTAAAACAAACACACTAATGCTCATAGGTCTTACTGTGCTGCAAAGAATGAACTTCTTTGTTTTTTACTCATGTACCTCAGCATTCCTGAAATACTAAAAAGGCTAATAATAATTTATTAGCCTTTAAGTAAGGTAAAATCAAATCCAGATATGATAATGGATTGTGTTTTTTAAAAATTTGAATGTCAGAAGTGTCAAATTAAAGCTGAATCCATGTATAAACCTGAGAAATGATGAAATATGAGAGCAGTTTTGCAAAAGCGAAGGATATGAAGAGGTATGAAGGAAAAACAAGCAGGAGAGAAGGTAGTCCTCAAAGCTTATAAAGTTCAAGTAAAGATAGATTAAAAAATAATTAGTGAATTTGACAATTAAGTTATTTGAATCTTTGGTGGGAGCCAATTCAGAGAAATGGTGTGGTATATAAACTCTGGAATATCTAGGATGGCGGTTTTCAAACATCTTAGTCTCATGACCCTTTTAGACTTTTAGATTAACATCAAGTTTTGAATTATTAATTGCTGTAAAGTAGCAACAATAAATTAAATACATGTTAATATAAATAACATATTATTTTAAAAACCTATATTTTCCAAAAAAAATAGTAGTGAAGAGTGGCACTGTTTTACATTTTTGTAAATATTTGAAATATCTGGCTCAATAGAAAACAACTTGATTCTCAAACTTATTTCTGCATTCATTTGCTGTAATATCACATCTTAGGTCCTCTGGAAATTCCAATATACATACATGAGAGAGTGAGTGGAAAAGGTGAATAATGTTTTAGTATCACTATGGAAATAATTTTGACTTTGTGGGCCCCCTAAAAGTTTTTTGGGCATCTCCCCAGGATCTCTGGATTATACCTCAAGATCTGTTGGAATAGAAGAAATCTAGATATTTATATCTGATACATATTAGTATCACCAAACCATAAAACAAAGCATAAAGATGCTGCTACTGGTGCAAAGGAACATGCTGTTCAAAGAATGCTTAATTTGTTTGTTTGCTTGCTTTGATTTTCTATTTTGAAAAATGCTTTCATATGCGGCATAACAAAGTGAGACTATCTGCTGTCAGAATACAGTATAGTGATTATTTTTTAGTCTGTGGGGGAGTGAGTAGAAACTAGAAGGAGGCAAAAAAACAACTTCTGGGGTACTGATACTAGTACTGTTTCTTAATCTCAATGCTAACTCCATGACTGTATTCAGTTAGTAAAAATTAAATGAGTTATATATACTTACTTTCACCTTTATTGTATGTATGCTATACTTCAGTAAAATCATATATTTGTCAAGCATAAATGCCAATCTCATTATCCCTGCTAATGTTTAAAACACAAGTTTGGTCTATCAATGAAGTAAGATAGGTGCATAGTTTGATGAACAGATGATGAATGTGGAAGCATGTAGCAAATGAGTTAAAATTTGTATTTCCAATACAGTGCAAAAAAAAACTCTCTAAATTGTGACTAAGCTAAACATTCTTTAGAGTTATTTTTACACTTCCGTTTATTTACAAAGGGAATGTTTCTTAGTTGATGATAGTCATTACTGCATGCTTGAGAGGTAAACCGATTTCATTTCCCAGATCTGCTAGGATGGAATTGTACCCATTCTTTAATTTCCAGTCAACTCCTCAACTCAGTATTTCTACTTCACAAAAGTTTCTTAAAAGGTAGCTATTTGGCTGGCTTAATGATTCTCGTCACATCAGTGTTGTGAAAGGTTATTACTTAGTAGTTCCTATTTGGGTTTGCATCCATTAATTCCAACCTCAGTATGAACATGTTGTTTCGGCACTATGAGAAAGTGCCAAAAATCATTTTTAATATGCACAGAAAAGTATCCAGAGGGATCATTTCCTTTTTCCTGTATGATTCTCACTTAGTCTGGACAATTTGTAGGAAAGTCTCAGTATGTTTTCAGGGCACATATAAAGCTGTAAGTCTGCAGCATTTACGTAAATGTGCTCCTCTGTTAAAGATGGCACATATGTCATAACTAATAGGTATTTGTTGTGGGTTAGCGAGATCAAATATGCTTAAATTTCTTGTGAATGTGTCAAAGAAGTAGTCACTCCAGTTATCTTGGGCATCAAGGCTAATTCCTTAATACCTGTGTGTAATGCAGAACAAGTATTTGATGGCTTGAAACAAAATCGTCATTGTTGAAAGTAAAAGCAACTAATTTAATGACATAACAGTGAAATGAACTATGAGTTATACTGTTGAAAAAGCATTTAAGCAAAGAGCAATTTTCTCTTGTTCAACACTGGGAAAAGCCTTTAAATAACAGCAGACAAATTATTTGAATAATGCAGACTCTTCTTGCCTGGATAGTCCCTTAATCCATTGTTTAGTCTTGGAAGAATACTGGAGACTATGTTAAAATAATAAAAACATTCTAACTACTTTCACGGTAGTAAACTTGCTTATTCTACAATATCACTACCAATGCAGTATAATCATACTTTCATATGATTCCTGTTTACGTTGGAGTTTAAACTGCATTAATCATCACCCCTTATTGAATTGGAAAACACATTAAATCCAGCGAAGAACACCTCCTTGCAGTGATATTTGCTAGCAATAGACTATGGTCTGAAATAGCAGTAAATTGACACACAGAGAAAAGCACAATTTTTAACAGAAACCAGATACCATTTATATTTTACAACAGCGTTGCTAAAGTTAAACAAGGGGCACCTGGGCAAAGAATTAGACGAGAACAAGATTTCGAGTTCAATTTTGTAGAAGCTCTAAGTTAGTGAGGTAATTCCAGTAAGTCAATGATCTTCTTCATATTATAAGCAGCTAATTAAAATTGCTATACAACCTGACGTCTGGTTGTGTGAAATTTCAGTTTAAAATAGCTAAAGTAATGGGGCAGAATTCTTGAATTAGACCAATTGGTATCAAGGGATTTTAAAAGCACACCGAGGACATGTTTTGAAAATTCTTGAATGTCAGGATTATGTGAGTTGGAGGAAAGCCAGGATGCTCTATGGTATTAAACTCCCACCCTTTCTACTTTTTATGGTGTTCTGAGCTATTTGATTATGAAATTAGCAATTATCTCCATGCAGATACACTGGAACAGTGGTCCTTAAATTTTTTCATGCATCAGAATCCCCTGGAGGGCTTGTTAAAACACAAACAGCTGGGCCCCACACCCGGAGTTTCTAATCGGTAGGTTTGAGGCAGGGACTGACAATTTACATTTCTAAGTTACCAGGTGATGCTGATGCTCCTGCTGACACTCCTCACCCAGGGATCACACTTTGAGAACTGCTGCTCTGGATAACAGCAACATCTCCACCAGCATTTCTGAAAATTTAATGTGCGTGCAACTCTCCCGGTTACCCTATTAAATTGCGTGCAAAGCATGTGGGGAACTTAGGAAAATGCAGATTCTTACTTGGTAAGTATGGTGTGCCAATTTTTCTTTTCTGTGGAGCACAATTTGAGAAGGAAGAATCTATAATATCTTCATGTGTGTGAATCTATCATTCCATTTTTTCCCTAACAGGAGAAACTGCAAGGCATGAAAACACTGGCCAGTGAAAGTGAGGGAGTACGGAGAGCATGCTGAGGTTGGGGTTAAGCTCAGAGAGGGTATCACATGGGAGACAAACTAGACCAACTTTATAGTATCTCCTTAGTTAAGCACTTAAAAAATCTTAGTATGAAATACAGTCCTTTTACTGTTTTATATTGCGTGTATTTCACTTTGAAAATTAAGTGTTCAGAGCCCAGTAGATTTAGAACAAAATATTCGAGACTTACCTATATTTTCAGGGTAGTGTTCCTTATTTTTAGAATTGTAAAAGGAAACTCAAAGGTAGCTACATAATTGTTCCTTTTACAGTAAGATCAGTTACCTGTTTTCGTCTTGTCTTTCAAACTTTACAGCCATCAACTTTCTAGCAGTATATACACAGCCTTGAACATATCTCATGATTATAGATGAACTCATGTCTAACTACTGCAGAGGGTAATTAGGCATTTGAGACTATGCTTTCTCAAATCTTACACAAATTATAGTTAGTAAAGTGTAAAGAAAATAACTCATACTTCAAACTCCAAGCTATTGTATACTGTATATAGTCTCTATATTGACATATGTACTGGATTTCCAGTGGAGAGTTTCTCTTTTTAATTATTATTATTTTTTGAGTTGGAGTTTCACTCTTATTGCTCAGGCTTGAGTGCAATGGTACAATCTCAGCTCTCTGCAACCTCTGCCTCCTGGGTTCAAGCAATTCTTCTGCCTCAGCCTCCCAAGTAGCTGAGATTACAGGCATGCACCACCACTCCCGGCTAATTTTGTATTTTTAGTAGAGGTGGGATTTCACCATGTTTGTCAGGCTGGTCTCAAACTTCTCACCTCAAGTTATCCACCTGCCTCGGCCTCCCAAAGTGCTGGGGTAACAGGCTTCAGCCACTGAGCCAAGCCAGTGGAGAGCGTCATGTGCATACATTAATACCTGTTTTATTTTATTCACACATTTTACATGTTATAATTATGTGTTTTTTAAAATATGACAAATTATAGTTTTTTTTTTTTTACTTTTCATGTATTTTGGAAGTAGGGAGGATGTGCCTGTTGATGGGATAAGTGATGTCTTAACATCTGTGGAAACCTACTACACTCTTGCATACTGATAATTTGCTTACCCCATGTTACCCTGGTTATTGTACCTAGACATGGAGCCTAGTGGAAAGAAGATGGTAATTTCGGGAGAGAAATATAATTTAATAGTGAGGCATTGAAAAGATAAAAAGTGCAACAATCAATCCCTAGTAAGAAATAAGACTTTTCCAATAAATGTTGCTATACTTCTAAGAAATTTTTTACATGGCTATTCACATGACTAGCTGAGGTTCAGTATGGATTTCATTATATCATGAGTCATTGTCATTCAGTTAATATGTTATGTTAAGTATTACATTATTATCTAACAGAAGCAATGCCATAAAATCTGAGTTAATATGATTTCCTTTCTTTTTATAGAAATGTAATAAGGTTTTGTTCTTATAGAAATAATGATGTTTGGATTTTAAGTCCCTGTTTTCAAGGTGTAAGGAAAACTAGTGTTCATTACGTTTTTCTTGAAAAAGTGTCAAATGCAAGGGTGTTCCCTCTCACCACTCCTAGTCAATAATCTACTAGAAGTCCTAGCTAAGGCAACAAGGAAATAAAAGGTATAAATATTGAGAAGAAAGAAACAAAAATGTCTCTGTTTACAGATGAGGTTATTATGCAGAAAGTCCTAAAGAATGAAGGGAAATTTCCTGGGACTAATAAGTTATTATAGAAAGTTTGCAGGTTACCGTGTTAATACATGAAGGTCAATTGCTTTCTTATATATTAATTCAGAATTTGAAATTAAAAACACAATACCATTTATATTAGCACTTGAAAAATGAAATGCCAATTTCCTATCACATAGTTGGCATCCATGCCAGAGTCATCTTGATGGCACTTTTTTCCAAGAGGGCTGTTTGCCAGAATGAGGTGATCCAGCAATAAAAAGTCAGAAAGCAAGTGCTCAGAGAGATGACAAAATAAGCCACAAAACACATAGCCCATGAAAGAGTAATGTGTTTTCAAAAACTCTCAAAATAAGTCCTGTGAAAGACCAAGTATTCTACTGCTTTCCATAATAGAGGTCATCCTGGCCAGTTTTGATCAAGAGAGTACTAAAATACCTGAGTTTGTGTAAAGCTATTTGCTCCTCTTCCTCTGACTCTCATTCACTCCAACTGTGACAGGCAGCCCAAAGCAAAACTGGAGAGGAGGCGGAGGAGTGTAAAAGGGACCGTGTTGCTCTCCCTCTCCTAGTACAGTTTCATATGTCTTGTGTCAAACCTGAAAATGAGACAGAAAGGAAGATTAAAGTAGATGTGAGTTTAAAGTTCTAATTTATACAGTATGATTCATGATCAGAAAATGATTAATAAGCATCAAATGAGATTATTCTTATTTCATATGTTTACAGGAAAGCTAAGGGAACCTCCTAAAATGCCATCTATGGGTAGAGAAAGGATCATGGTTGATAACAACAAACAAAAAGGTAAAGCTATTAATAATTTCTACATTGGAATTAAGCTAATTTGACAAACTGGTACACAGTAAATTGTTACAACAAATCAAGGAAAATTACTGAATATGGTTGTGTGCCCTCTGTCAGCCTTCGCTTTTTCACTCTTCTTGGAGAGCAGGTACTATTTCACTTGTGGGAAAGCTATATTAAATAAATTTAGTGTACCTCATATTTTGATTGCTAATTAAAAAGTTAGGATGGAGAATAAATGGGGGAGAAAGGTGAGAAATTGAGTGTCTTTGTTAAAGGGATTACTAGATACCTGTTGTTATTTACCTAATAGTAAATAAATACATGTATGATGAGGCCTGGTAAGGAAATATAACTATTTTTAAAAGCTTGGATAAAAAGGAAATGGAGGAGGTAAAGAGTTACTCATCACCCCAAAATCTAAGTGAAAGTACCCTGAGGGTACATTTAGGTTTAGATCCCCTCCCCTTTGCTGTAAGGAATCATTTTTAAATAGCTATAAATTAAGGCTCATTGCTCACCTTAAATCAGAAGATTGCTACTAAATAGGGGCATATTTACAATAAATGTTTAGCACGACCCCGTGCCAGGTCTTTGATTCGTATATCAGTAACATAACGCAAGCAATGAACCTTGTACATAATGGGGAAGGTTGATTTGTGAATTCATAATTATAATAAAAATTATAATGAGGTCTGAACAAAATACGTCAGAAGTTTAGAAAGAGTAATTGATTAGGGTGATTAATGGCTGGGAAAACAGGAAAATTACAAGAGAAGGTGAACTTCTTGAAAAAAATATACCATGGTTTATTTATTGTTATATCTCCAATGTGTTGCCCAGTGCCAATGAGTTAGAGGTAAATACATGTTGACACATGAATGCATGACACAGTTAATCATGCTGGATTCTCCCCTACTAGGTTGTGTGTCTTTTGCGATAGAACACCATCCTATATGACCAATATAGTATCCCTTACAGCACCTAGCAAAATATCCCATTTATAGTAAAAAGAGATAAAGCAAATTTGTATTTACTGAGTGACTTTTAATAGCTATGCAACAAATGTGCTTTTACCTATGTGTTATGTGCTAGATATAGTTTGTATAAATTTTCTTTTTTTTTTTTGCTAGATTGAAGATCAATTTTATTTATTTATTTTATTTTTATTTTACTTTAGATGCATACTATATCTGGCAATTCTCCCCATGTTATCCCTCCCCAGCCCCTCGCTGTCTCTCCCCTAACCTCCCCAACTGCCCCAGTGTATGATGCTCCTCTCCCTGAGTCCATGTGTTCTCATTATTCAACACCCACCTATGAATGAGAATATACGATGTTTGGCTTTCTGTTCTTGTGTCAGTTTGCTGAGAATGATGGTTTCACATATATTATTTCATTTATGTTTCTTGAGGTGACTTAATGTAGCTTAATGACTGATTAAAAGGTTAAGTTGTCAAGATAACACACTAGGTATAACAAGGAGCTGAAGATATAGTGTATTCATAAATATAGATAGCCACTAGAAAAGATGGAAAGTAGGACTGGTGGAACAGCCTAGTACCCCTCAGCTCTCTTATGCTAGGCCACTCCTAGGTCAGTATGTAATTTTATAAGCCCACAGCTATACTTATTGATTCTCACATGCAAATGCAGTCCCACCTCAATTGTTCAATATTTTGGTCTGAGAGTAAGAAGACCTGCACCCTGCATCAGCCTATAGCCAATGGTGTGAAAGCAAGTATCCTGAGGTTCTTATCTGGCCCTTTTTACTTATTGCCTAGAACATACCAAGTAGGGGGCTGGATAGAAAGCAGGTATAGCCTGAATGTCCATATTAATACTATAGGCAAGCTAACAGGTTCAGATATATTCATAATTGTAATTGAAATTGAATGTAATAATTGTATAGGCTTTACAGCAATACTAGTATGAGAGGGCTTCTGATCATATGACCCATTTTAAAAACAACTGAGTAGATCAGACGTATTCTCACCACAAAACAACAACCACTACAAAATCAGAAACTATGTGAGGTGATGAAAATATTAATTATCTTGATCATGGTACGTTATTAAGCTTAATTTGGATAGGATCAATTGAAAAGGATTTTTAAATATACTAAGTAGAAAAGCATGCTTTTATTAGAGTTTAAAAATATAAAGTAGGAATCTATATCATTACAATTTATCTATAATTTAACTTATAGCTGATGCCTTTTCTTCTTTCAGTTCTTTCTTTATATTGTAATAATGTATACAAAAGTGATACAACTGATTGTCACAAATTGTAAATCAGACTTCAAAATATAACTGCATTGTTTGTTTTTCTCTTTTAAGACTGATCAATTAATCCATTTTGTTTATATTCATTTCATTTTTTTCAATTTTTTTTTTTGCAGAATGCAAGGGGTACACGTTATTCTATGAAATACAATAAGGCAGACTATTTGTGCCTGCATTTGTTGTACCAATTACTAAAAGAAAAAAATGCTTTTCTGTTTTTTGATATACATTGGCACTTAGAGGAAAGATTAACAAAAGACTAAATTTTTACTAATCTACTTTTCAGAAAGTTTGTATGAGTAAGATTGAACATTTTTTAGATTTAAACGCTATGTAAAAAGATAATTAGAGAAAATTGGTATCTGTTTTCTGAGCTATAATTTGAAACTTGTTCTAAACAGACCTTTAGGAAATTTATACACACATATACAATATGGTCTTGTGTGTGTGTGTGTGTGTGTGTGTGTATATATATGTGTATATACATAAACATGTATATACACATATACATATACACATACATGACATTTTTAACGATTTTGTATTATATATGTATATATATATATATACATATACACACATATAGTATATACTCTATTACAGATGCAACTTTTATTTCATACAAAATTCGAGGCAGGCAAGGTATATGCTTGAAAATTCATATATTATTGATTTATTTCTCTTAAGATATTACAACCTTGCCTGTTAAAACCTCTTCTTGCCAGAACTCTCTTTAATCACATGTTTTCATGTCCCAATCATGCTTGAGTTTTGGAGCCCTCTACGGTATCCCCTATTTGTTACTAGTGAATAAACTAAGAAAAGGAGCATGGAAATTTCTACAGATGTTTTGAAAACCAATCTTTGAAGTAATGTATAGTACTTCCATTTATGTTTCATTGTCCAGAATACATCCACATGGCCACACATAACTGCCAAGGGGTGAGAAAATTGTTTGTCTCAAAAAAAGAGAACATTGATATTAAGGAGAAGTAACATTCTCTGTCACATCTTTTCTACCATGAGGATGTGTACATTATACTTAAGCAATTGACCAAATCCAAAAATTGTATTTTGTCATCTTCTTCAGGAACACAATAATAGCATTTGTTTTTACTTAGATAAATATTTTCAAACACGTAGTTCGACTTTATGCCAATTCTTTCACGCATTTAACTCTGAGGGAATATTTGTCCTAAATCTCTCCACTGAAAATAGGAAAAGAATCTTCTACCATTGTCAATCCCTGACACTTATTTACAATAATAATACTATTTTTCCTTTGATAAACTTTGTATCATGGATTTATAGGGTATATTTTCAAACACGTAGTTCTACTTTATGCCAATTCTTTCATGCATTTAACTCTAAGGGAATATTTGTCCTAAATCTCTCCACTGAAAATATGAAAAGAATCCTCTACCATTGTCAATCCCTGACCCTTATTTACAATAATAATATTTTTCCTTTGATAAACTTTGTATCATGGATTTATAGGGCATTTTTATTATTTTGAACCAACAGTTATTTTTTTAGAAGTGGTTGATATTTTTAATAATTTTGTATTTTTAATTATCTAATAGCAAACACATAACTATCTTGGTTATGCATAGGCTCTGTGCTCAAAGAATGAGAAAGTAACAGAAGTTAAAGGAAAATAGTTTTTATTTTATCTTTTCCTTCACAGAATTCATGTGAATTAAGAGGTGCAGAAATGGTTAGTCATCATGTCACAATCAATGGGTCTCATGTGGAATTTACACACCTGGCTTAGGGCTCATCTTCTATATGAATAATATAACCATTTTACTCTTTTATGCCTTCATCCTATGTTTTAGATCAGATCGGAACTTTGCTATTCTTTTGGAAATAAAGTGTTAATGAAACACAGTCATGTCCATTTGTTTATGTACTGTCTATGGCTTATTTCAAGCTACAATGGCAGAGTTGAATGGCTGTGACAGAGACTGTATGTGGTCCACACCACTGAAAATATTTATTATCTGGCCTGTTCCAGAAAACATTTACCTATCCCTGTTCTAAAGCCTTGGGTATGAACACTAAGTTTCTTTTTATCATTGGAAAGTTTTCATTTTTATGAAAACTGCAGAAAATACTTAAAAAAACCTAAAAGCTATAAAACCCAAATATAACAACTGATTAACAATGTTGGTTGGTTAGTTTTGAAAAGGTTCAAACTGAAATTGAATTAAGGAACACTAGGAAACTTACTGAACAGATTTCTTTGTAATGACTTTCTGCCTGTGGAGGCCAGTTTTGAATGCATTTTATAGTCAATTATAAGTATATGAACACAAAGACAAATTGTCTATAAAATTACAATTTTGGCTTTAGATATTTCCTATCTCAGTGATACAAGTTTTAATTTTTGTAAATAGTTTGACAAGTAAGAATAAGGAGATTTTAAAATGTAACGTAAATCTTACTGCTACCTGCGGCATGTTTTAAATAGTAGGCCTGTAAGAAGTTTCTAAAATATGGCTTTGTATCCTCAAACCTATTTGTGCATTAAATAATGTATAACCAAAGTCTAATTTAAATTGAACATACTAAGGTGCCAAGTTCTATTTTAATCATAAGTATTATATATAATATTTCTTTATTTTAAAACTATCTAAAACAAAATATAATGATATAAGCTGTTCTTATCAAATTACTTCACATATATATATATTATATATACACGTATGTATAAT